AATTAAAAATTAATAAAATTAGTAATAAAATTAGTGTCTTGATAAAGTTATCAGTAATCATAACCTTATCTGTCTTTCCATCCATTTTATTACTATAACTAGTAACATCAACTATATGCCTTGTTGGGACGGTCATCTTTGAGTTTTTTTAATATGTTCTTTTAATAGTACATTTATTACGATAAAAAAAAAGTACATTTATTAAATTTTTAGATTAATTTATATAAAAATTATAAAAATAAACTTTATTTTTAACACTAGTATTATGTATATGTTTAATTTAATAGTTAATAAAATTAAAATTTATTTTTATATTTTTTTATAACACTAGTATTATGTATATGTTTAATTTAATAGTTAATAAAATTAAAATTTATTTTTATATTTTTTATAAAAAAATATAATAAATACATTCTTAACATATATTCTAAAGATAAAAATTTCTTTGTTGATTTTTAATAGTCATAATTTGAGTTTTTGATTTTTTAAATATGAATTTTAGATAAAAATTTAATATATTATATAAATAATAATTGAAAAATAACTTAGTCTAATCAAAATATTTAATAGGAATTATATATTAAAAATTATTTCAATTATTGTTGATCTAAATCAAATAAAGAAAAGTTTCCCCTTATTAAGGAAAATTTAAAGATATTTTAAAATTTTCACACCTAATTATTACAATAAATAAAAGGTAAAATTAATATCTACCATATTTATTTTGAGTTATGTTATAGAGACAAATTTTTTATATCACATTTTAATACAATTTTCACATGTCATTAAATGAGTAGATGCATTCAATATCACGGATTTCACATAAATTAAAAAAATTAATTATTTAAATAACTATACAAAAAAAAAAATATAAAAAGACTATCCTAAAATCATTTTTCATTTATTTTTTCTAATACAATTTTCAATTGGTAAATTTTCTTCCCGTGTTTTTTTTTTTTTTAAGGAAAAAACTAATCCCTTAATTTTTTTTAACATGGGATCCATTTACTAACTCTGCTAACCTTAATATCAACATATTACACAATATAAAAAAAATTAACAATTCAATAAAAAATTTAGTGTTTTTCCACTATCTTTGTATGAGACAAAAAAATACTTCAATCCCAAAATTAGTGGGATTTATCACTGACCCCACAAAGACCTCATTGCTCATAAAATTGATGTTTTTACCATTTATATATGATAAATTGCAAAATATTTTCTCAATTTAACAATCAAATTTTAATAAAAATTTCATTAAAATTTTTTTTAAACTTTTTATACCGTAATTTTTTCAATAAAATACATTTTCAACTACTTTTTCACTAAAGTTATTGTCTAGCCAAAACAGACCCTATAGATTTGGGAGTAAACTACCACGCCATTAAGGCTGCCTTAAGCTAGTTCAAGTTATTTGTACTATCTGTCACAACCTTACCTCGATATTTTGCTTGTGGTAGTAGTAGTACCAGCATTTACTTCTCTGTTCAGTCTTGAGGACCCACTTCCAGAGGTGGTGGGGTACTATCATTTTTCCAAAGGGAAATTGAATTGAATCTCTTTTTTATTTTGTGAAGAGCCAATGCTGCATCTTGATGCAAAAAAGCTAAAATTGATGACGCAGAGAGGTTCGACAGATTTCGTGTGTGCTGACCAGTGACCAAGCTAGCTGTTGCTCATGATCAACCAAACAAGGAGTAATAAGCAGGGTTATCTTTTTTTTTATTAATGTTATATACCCACAACCTGGAATCCTCGAGATTTCAAGGGCATTGTCCAAATACTCTATTATCTTTGAAGAAAAAAAAAGAAAAGAAAAGATAAATAAAAATGTTAATTTTATATTTTTTATTTAAAAATATTAATTTTATTAAATTTTAAATAAAATTATTAATTTTTTTTTAAAAATATTAATTTTTATTATTTAATTCATTCTTGAATTAAAAAAAATAAAAATTGATATTTTTAAATTGACATATTTAAATAAAAAATAATAAAAATAATATATATTTTTTCCAGCTCAGAAGATCATTTCAAGGTGCACACGGTAACCAACGGTCTTGGGTCATCATCTGCATTTTGAGCTCAAGTCCAAGGGCTTCCAATGTAGCATATGATATGAGTTTAGGTGAACCCAGTTCTATTTAAGAAAGGCTTTTCAGATATTATAGAAACATTGGGCCAAACTTAGGCCCCATTTAATTAAAACCCCCTAAATGGGTTCAACTCTTCCCAAAGGCCCAAAAAGAAATAAAAACGAAACCATAAAAGGGAAGCAAAAATAAATGGTAAGGATAAGAAGAAAGGAAAATTTATAAAAAAAAAAAAAAAAAAAAAAAAATCTTTTGAATTGGTTTTTCAGATACAGAGCAGAAAAATTCACACAGAGACAGTCGGCAATGGCTGTCCGCTTCATTTCACCACCTTCTCTCCTCCGCTCTCAGAACCCCAAGTTATTATCACATTCCTTCTCGATCAAACCTCCCTCTCTCAGTTTCTCCGTCTCGCTTTCTGCCAAATCCCACAAAAGTCTCAGGCTTTCCTCTCTGGTTTCTTTCGCCAGCTCCCAACCTGACCCGATTCCGGACCCGGATGAGGATTCGAATGATATTTCATCGGCGCCTCAGGCTAGTGTCACGGACGAATGGGGTGAGAGATCGGATGCTGGTTTGGAACCGGAACCGACAAAATTGGCCGACTCGGATCCTCCCAAGGATGAGGACGAGTGGGAGGAGCAGTATGTTGACATGGGTAATGGTACTCCTGCACAAGGGTCTATTACGGGAGAGAGTGTTGAATCTGTTGATGATACGGTGTGGGATTTGAAGAGGTGCTTGGTGGATACGGTTTATGGGACGGAGCTTGGGTTTCGGGCTGGCTTAGAGGTGCGTGCTGAGGTTTTGGAGCTGGTTAATCAGTTGGAGGTACGCAACCGGACTCCGGCTCCGGTGGAGACACCGCAGCTTCTTGATGGCAAATGGGTTCTGCTGTGAGTACTCTCTCCTTTTTCTTTTTCTTTTTTTTTTTTTTTATGTGTTTTTGGTGTTCAGAAATGCATTCATTTCCCCATTAGTTTAAAGCATCACATAAAAGATGAGTTGTTTCATCTGCAAATTGTAAACTTTTGCCTTTTCTTTTAGCTTCTTTTTTTTTTTTTTTTTTTTTTTTGGGGGTTGAAATTTATGGGTCAAGGTAGAGTTAACTGGTTGCGTTCGTAAATGCATTCATTTCCTTATTTTACAAATCCAATATCTAATTATTATCATGTTTCAAATGATTAATTAAATGCCTAACTTTTTATTTCTTTTCATAAAATTGTAATATGTGAACTTAGGAAATGAGTCTTTGAGAAATATTTGCCTTGTTTTTCTAGTGTTTGATTTGATCAAAGTTGATGTTTAGAGGCAGAGGGATAGAGGACCACAATGTCAAACCAGAAGCAAATAAAAGTGGCTTAGATAATCCTGATATGGAGACAGATGGGAAATATCTTGATGTTTTGAGTTGAGATTATTTAGGACTTACTTTTCTCCAAGTGTGGTTTCTGATGAATACTCATGCTTCATCCATCAAAACTGGCTGTAGATGAACTAGTCGTGACTGTCTAGATTTGAAACAGGGCTTAATCAGATGTATATTTATGTATTTGCATCTTCTACAACTAGGCCAAAAGTGATAGTAGTTGGAAGATGATTATTGATTGATGGGCTATTATGATGTGTACAGTCACAGAACTTCTATTTGCTTTTAAATGGGTATTTCCTGATAGAGGATATTTAGGGGATTTAATTTAGCTGAAAGTGCATTCCTTCTATCTGAAATGAATGAACATAGGACCCGCATCATTACCTCTCCATAAGGTTTGTCTTTGACTGAAGTCTGAACCTCTTGCTGCAGATTTTGCAATCCTAGATATTGCTATTTGGGTAGCACAAATTATTTGATTTCAGCCCTTGATTCTGTTCTGCTATTAATCAGGTATACTGCATTTTCTGAGCTGTTGCCTCTTCTAGCAGCTGGTTCAATCCCATTGTTAAAAGTGGAAAGTATATCCCAAGCTATTGACTCCAGCAATCTCACAATTGTGAACTCCATCACATTTTCCAGTCCTTTTGCAACATTCTCTTTCAGTGCATCTGCTGCATTTGAAGTCAGAAGCCCCACTAGAGTACAGGTAAATCTTGGAAATACTAATTAATTACAAAAAAATATGTATAGATGCAAGGCAGCGCCTTTTTTTTGTTCCTGCAAGGAGGCAATTTGTAATAATCCAATAAAATGACTTCATAGTTCTCAATTCTCAGTATGTTCTAACATTTGCATTCTTTAAGCTATTACCATATTGCATTTTCTGATTGTAGATCAAATCTGTGAGGAGGTTAGTTTGAGTAATAATTTTGAAAGTACTACTTATAAAAGAGTAGAAAGGACTATTACATTAAGTATTAATCTTTGAGAGATGAAGCATCTAAGGACATTTTTTTTCTAATTTTGTTTTCTGTGTTCTATGGTCAAACCCTCTGCGGAATAATCTTTAGAATGAATGAGTGTCGAAAGATACTAATTTAGTTTCCAATACGTGCAGGTGGAGTTTAAGGAAGGTACCCTAGATCCGCCGGAGATCAAACCAACCGTTGACCTACCAGAAGATGTTGATGTTTTTGGACAGAAAATCAGTTTGTCACCAGTGCAGCAATCTCTTAGACCTGTGCAGGATGTGGTGGCAAATATTTCGAGAGCCATTTCTGGTCAGCCACCTCTAAAGCTTCCAATTCCTGGGAGCCAGACAAAGTCCTGGCTTCTTATTACATATCTTGACGAAGATCTTCGTATCTCAAGAGGAGATGGTGGTCTCTTTGTGCTTGTTAAAGAAGGGAGCCCGCTTCTATCACAGTAGTGATTCTCAGGTACATTAAAACCCAGGGATGTCCATGGAGAACATTCATATACACAAGGTTTTTGCCCATTTTCTCACTTTTCTTTCTCTTTTGATTTTTGCCTGCTCAAAAGGAAATCTGAATTGGCTCCATTGTGTACGTTAACATTCAGTTTGGATATGTAAGTGCTATTTTACCACCGTGGCTTTGCAACTTGATAATTCCAACTTCAAAGATATGTAATAGCTATTTAGTGGTAGTTGTTTTTTTATTTTTATTTTTATTCAGTTCCTTGTTTTGCATCCTAAATTATTGCTACTTGATAATTATCAATTATTTTTTTATCAACAATAAAAGAAGTTTGAAATTCGAACAAAATTTTTTTAAAAAATAAAAATATTTGTAGTGTTGAATTGCATTAGGGTATTTTTGTCAATAGATATATATTTTTATATCCAATCCTCTAACAATTCAATTATGTAACAAGATTATAAAATTGTCTAGTCTAATCCAATCCAATCTAATCTTATTATTTATATCTTATCCACTCATATCCAGTCATATCCAATCTTTTATTTCAAACGTGCTCTTAGAGATTCTACACGTTGTTTTCACAATCTTGCAATTTCTGTTAAACTGTGTATCTGATGGTTTGCTTATTGTTGATCAAAATCATTATAGTTACACCTTATACTCAAGAGAATGTGCAAATGTAGAATATTGGATCTTACTTTTTTTCTCTTAAAACTTTTTTATTTGAAAATACAAACTTTTCTTTAAAATACTAATTTATTCCATTAACTTTTAGATTTATATTAAAATTGTCCTTTAACTTGCAAAAGTACCAAAATTGTTTTTGAATTTTAATTTTTAGTACTATAATAGTCCTCAAACTTTGAAGACAATATCAATTTAGTTTTTAAACTTTGAAAATAAATGTCAATTTAGTCATTGAACTTTGATTATAAAAGCTAATTTGGTTTTTTTAACTTTGATTACATATTAATTTGATATGTAAATAAAAATATATTACGATAATAAAATATAATTATTTAATTTTACATATCATTAGTATTTTAAAAAAAAAACTAATTTTGTGACAAAATAACAAGTTATGTAATATTTTTGTTAATGGATTTTTTTGGTATTTAAAATTAAAAGTCGAACAATTTTGGTACTTTATGAAGTTGAGAGACAATATTGGTATAAATCTAAAAATTGAGGGACCAAATTAGTATTTTAATCAATTTTTAAATCACTTTCTAAATAAAGATAACAAAACTTCGCGAGTTTTTAATTTAACCATGAATGAGGACCCTTGGATCTTAATTTTTACCAACAAAGCTGCTTCATGTTTGCCTGGTGAGCAATGCAAATACAAGGTTCTCGGAAGAAAAAACCAATGCACATGATGAAAGGCTGAACATATGAAGCGAGAAACATCACTAGCTGTAACACAGAAATACCAATCTTATTTGCTGTTGTTCTCATCCAAAAAGCGAACGTTCAAAAATTTCAATGTTAATAGTACAGGAACAGACGGGGGAAAATGTTAACAACAGAATATTTATTGGTGTCAATCATGCCTTCTTCTTTTTGGACTTGAGCATCACGAACCCTATAAACATGGATAGCAAACAGAGAAGCACCACGCCAACAAATACAGGTATCAGTATGGCATATTCTTGAGGGAGGAAGTACTTGTGTATAAAATGTTCGCTCTCTACAAATGGCTGAATGACAAAGACAGAAATGGTAATCTGACAGTCATAAGCAAGCAAGTTCATGATGAGGAAGTAAGAGAGTTTAAGAAGAAGTTACTAACCAGGATGATGACCCATAAACTGTAATATGTAAATATGGTTAAGCTGATAAATGACAATAGGAAGCCAACTGCTCGATCTGCTAATTCCATTTCAGTATTTTCTGCTCTTACTATCTGTTAATCCATAAGTCAGCCATCAGCATCTTCATTCTTCAAACTCAAAAAAGAGACTAAACAAGATTCTGGCAGATTAACATGCGCATACATCACAATTCACAGAGTCATTCATGGGACATAAATGAAGAGATCCTATCCAGAGTGGAGCCAATATAATGTTACTTATATAGTCATACAGTTTGCACATTATTTAACAACATAATTCAATTGAAAGCCATGGACCATAATTAAATAACTCAAGCAATAAGAAAAACTAACAGCATCACCAAGTCATTGATTTTTCAGCTCTATATAGATGTGTTCAGAGCAGAGTAGATCACTGACTTAAACTAATCAAAATGCAGCCATCTAAAATGAATAACATTACTATAGCCAGACAGGATAGAAACTATGGTTTGGATGAAGCTAAAACATGAACATGAAAGAGGTTGATTTACTTGAGCACTGTTTTTTGCATCAACCACAATGTTTCCGAACAAAGAACATAATTTAGCATTAGTGTCAACTAAGAATGGTTTTGATATCATTAGTTGGGCAAGGAATCCACTCCCAATCTGCATCTCTGCCCATTGCACCCACCCTTATCCACAATCCACCCCAGTCCATGATGCATTGAAATTATCCTCCCACCCCAGACTTTCAATCTTAATATTTTAAGTACCCTATAATACCAATTATTACCTGGGATTCTAGATTCCAGATTTTGCTAACAATTAACCAAGAAAAAAAGGCATGAGAAACCCTCACAAAAACCTATCCTTTGCATTTTATAGCAATCTCCCCCGTCCCAAACAAGAAATAACTTTTTTAGGGTTTTCATCTCTAAACTCGATCCATGCAATTTTATTTACAGCATCAATGACCTAAAAACTGTTTACTGATATCAACAAGTACATTTCGTGATGCTATTCTATGCATCTCATCGATCTCTTGCAGCAAATTGAAAATATTCAACTCCACAATAAGATCAAGCAGAAGAGATTACAGAAAACTATGAGGCGTTAAGTTCTTGATACCTGATTCCGTCGACGAAAAGTGGGAAGATCCCCGATGAAGAGGAGGGTTTTGATTTTCGACTCTCTTTTTTTTATTTGTACTTGCCATTTCTCATTTTCTTCTCTTTTGAGGACGAGACAGGAACCAGATACCCAACCCGGGAAGCTGTCGAAGTGTCCAACTGAGATTGGGCTTGAAAATTGCTCTCAAATCCAGTGGTTCACTTTTTCACCCGTATGTGAATGGGTCTACATCTAGCCCTTTCGGAGTTTTGGTACTTCCTTTTTTCAGCAACAAGAGTTTGGAGTTTGGGGTGTTTTTTTTTTTTTTTTTTTTTTTTTTTTTTTTTCTGCTATAAAAGTTTAAAGAAAAAATCAGAATGTGTCTAGTTACTTGTCATTAAATATGTGTCTCAATTGAACCGGCCTTTTGGGATCTAATAATTTGTCCTTGAGTCTTAGTACTTATGTTAGGTAATGTTGATTGAGAGTTCGAATTTCACCAATTACTTGAAAATTTACACTTGTTTTATAAGCAATTAGCGCTTCTCCAGCTTATGGGTTCGTCCATTTCTCCTATAATTGCTCTTATTCAAAAAATATATATATATATATATATATGAGCCTCAATTTGGTCACATCTATTACATGACTATCATAGGTTGTCTATATAAATTTCTTTTCTTCGCATAAAACAAAACAAATACTATATTGTAAGTAAGTAATCCTAATCTTAATCTCAAAATATTTTATCATATTCTGTTGGCTAATTCGAACAGAATTTATAAAAAAAGATACTAATAATGTAAATGAAAACAAAAATGCTGGCACCAGGATAAAGTAGTAATGTTAAAAGCAGTTAGCATAAAATTACTACTCTTAATAATTAAAAGTAAAAAGAAGAATGGTTAAAATTTTATATAAGTATTATAAGTAAAATTTATGTATAAGTGGATTCATATTCTCTCTTTTCCTTAATTTATTTACACGCAAATCCTACAAATTACACTTATATAAAATTTTAATAATTTATCTTTTTACTTTTAATAATTGAAATTTATTTACTTTTTTATAATATTTATTAAAAATAATTATCTTTTTTCATCTAAAAAATTATGATAAATTTCAACAATTAAAAATGAAAAGATGAATTATTAAGATTTTGTATAAATATGGTAAATAAGATTTGTGTATAAGTGATCCCTACTATATATATAGTATGGATCTATTTACACATAAGTTTTACACGCCATATTTATATAAAATCTTAATAATTTATTTTTTCATTTTTAGTAATTAAGATTTATTTATATTTATTAAATATAATTATTTTTTTATTTAAAAAGTCATGACAAATCTCAATTATTGAGAGTGAGAAGATTAATAGTTAAAATTTTGTGTAAATATGGTATGTAAGACTTGTCTGTGAATGGATCCCTTTTATATACATGGAAAATGATCTGTATACACTCAGTTTAACATGTTTTTTGACGTACTTCTGATTCAATCCTTAAAAATATAGTATAAATACAATCAATTCAGTCGATTCTTACATTCTGTGTGTATGATTGTATCTTTAAACTTGTGTATCTTTAATTTCATATCAAGAAATAATGATTTTTAAATGAGTGTGTTGTGTAATGTGTTAAAATAGAATATGTACCAACCACTATCCTATATATATATATATACACTGCCTATTTGCCTTACCTACTCCAAATGAAAAATTATTCTAAAAATACATTGTTTTAATAAACTCTTATTGAAAATGATTAAAATATCTTATTTTAGTAGCATAAATAACGTAGTAGAATAACTTTTTTATTAATTATTTTTAAAAGATAAGGTAAATAAGTACTAATCCTTATATATATGATTATATTTATATTTATGAGATTTTTTAACATGTGTTCTTAAGGGTGCAATTATTACACCATTTACACATTAATTAGTATTAAAAAAAAAACAAAAGTTGTTACAAATTTCATCACTAGTGCCATGTAGATAATTTTAATTAGACAATTTACTTAAATAAAAGTTAACTTTTATTTTATTAATACTAATTAATATAAAAAAGATACAATAACTTATACCCTTAATTGATACTTTTATAGCACAAGTTAAAAAATTTATTTATTTATTTATTTATATAACACTGTCACTTTATTGCATTAGACGAAGTGGAAGAACAAAAGGAATATCGATCAAAAGAAACTAATCAAGAAATATAGGGTAGGCTATATAAATTTACCTAATTTAGTACATATGAAAAAATCTTTTCATGAAACTATAACTGACATTAGAGTTTAAACCAAAATCTGAAAACCTACCATAAAAAGGCACTAAAAATAGGAAATCTGCTACTAAACCGTACAATCAATTCCGTTTTCTTCTACAATCTAAAAAAGGGACAAATTTTAATGGATAAGTAATGTTTAGAGTAATATATATAGATAAAGAAGCAAGACTTCACTGAACTTCTATGTTCATCTCAACTGAATCTAATCAGATCAATAGATCAAGAAAGATATTTAAAGTGATTATGGCCAATTGATTAAGTAAGACATTTAAAGTGATTATGGCTAATTCTCCCCAATTTGCACTCGGGATAAGATAAAATTTTCTAATGAATCCCAAAAATAGATCAAATTCGTTGGGATATATTGTCAATTATTACTATCTCAAAAATCAAAGTAACAATCTACCCATTAAGCAAATATAAATAGGTACTCCAAGTGCTCTCAGCATCACTACACTCTCTCCCATTCCTTACATAATGGCAACGTCCTGTCTTCTTCCATGCATTGCTGTTCTCTTTCTAGCTGCTTTTGTATCATCATCTAGAAATATGTCCTTAGGTCCAATTCAAGTTGATGTCCCGAATGATTTTAGCTATGTTTGTGACCCGCAGAGATTTAGACAGCAGGGCCTGGACATGGACAAGTTTACATACTGCAATAAGTCCCTTTCTTATCAGGTCAGGGCAAAGGATTTGGTAGATCAAATGACACTCGATGACAAGGTGCAACAGATGGGAAATTCAGCAAAAGGTGTGTACAGAATAGGCTTGCCAAAGTATGAATGGTGGTCTGAGGCATTACATGGTGTCTCTGATGTCGGCCCAGGGGTCAAATTTGACAATGTTGTTCCTGGTGCAACAAGTTTCCCCACTGTTATCCTTACAGCTGCATCCTTTAATCAGTCACTTTGGAGAAATATTGGCCAGGTTTATATAAACAAAATTTCTTCCAAGATTAATTAATCTCCTAATTAATTAATATTTTTGTGCCTTTTTTTTTCCTCTTTAGGTTGTTTCAACTGAGGCTAGAGCCATGTACAATCTAGGAAATGCTGGGTTGACCTTTTGGAGTCCTAATATCAATGTGGTGAGGGATCCTAGATGGGGAAGAATTACCGAAACAGCTGGTGAAGATCCTTTTGTAGTTGGCACATATGCTATTAATTATGTAAGAGGCTTACAAGATGTCCAAGGAGCAGAACAAAGCTCAGATCCAAACTCAAGATCTCTTAAAGTGTCTTCATGTTGCAAGCATTACACTGCCTATGATGTTGATGCTTGGGAGGGTGTTGATCGTTTCCATTTTAATGCATTGGTAATTAATTTCTTAATATATGAGATTTGCCCTTTTTTTAGCTAATTAACTTCATTTTAGTTTACCATTCTTTGCCTTTCTTCTAGGTGGCCGAGCAAGATATGCTGGAGACCTTTAATCGTCCCTTTGAGATGTGTGTTAAGGATGGCGATGTTAGTAGTGTCATGTGCTCTTACAATCGTGTCAACGGATTTCCCACTTGTGCTGATCCTAACCTTTTGAAAGGAACAATCAGAGAGGAATGGGATTTGCATGGCTATATTGTCTCCGACTGTGATTCCATTGAGGTGATGGTAGATGGCCACAAATGGTTAGATGACAAGGGAGATGATGCCTCTGCACAAACCTTAAAAGCAGGTATATATAACACCTTTCCTCTTCTCATTTCTCACTCCAGTTGGTGCTCTTCATACATAATTACATCATTATAATGTGTTTTCTTTATATTTAGGTTTGGATTTGGATTGTGGACATTTCTATCCAGACTATCTCAAAAGTGCAGTTTTAAATGGAAAAGTCAGGGAAGCAGAAATCGATAGGTCATTGAACTACCTTTATGTTGTGCTAATGCGGCTTGGATTCTTTGATGGAATTGAACAATACAAATCCCTTGGCAAGGGAGATGTGTGCACTGAGCAGCACATTGCATTAGCTTCACAAGCAGCCAGAGAAGGAACTGTACTTCTTAAAAACGAAGGCGGAGCTTTGCCATTGAGTCATGTTTCAAAATTGGCGGTCATTGGTCCGCTTGCTAAGGCGACGGAGTTAATGCTTGGAAATTATGCTGGTATCCCTTGCCAATTTGTGTCTCCCCTTGATGGCTTGACAAAAGTTGGACAACTTTTGTCCGCAGTTGATCATGTGATATACCAACCAGGATGTGTAGATCCTAAGTGTCAGAATGACTCATTGATTTTACCAGCAATCAATGCTGCTAAGGATGCAGACGCCACCATAATTTTTGTGGGAACGAATTTGTCCATTGAAAATGAGGGCCTAGATAGAACAGACCTTTACCTACCTGGTTACCAAACTCAATTGATCAATCAGGTTGCCGCAGTCTCAAGAGGTCCAGTAATTCTCGTGATTATGTCAGCAGGTGGTGTTGATATTCAATTCGCTAAAGACAACGAGAAAATTAAATCAATTTTGTGGGCTGGATGGCCTGGTGAAGAAGGCGGTCTTGCAATTGCTGATGTTATCTTTGGGCGTTACAATCCAGGTAATTATTTTTTTTATTTTGTCAATTTTAGTTACTTTTGGAATAATTTCATAGTTTTCCTCAAAAAATTCACCTTCTTTGTAGTATGGACGTAGCTTATGGTTTTTATAAATTTTGTCACTTATATATATATATAGATATGGGGAATAATATTTATCTGCTTAACTTTTTAAAAATTAAAAGGAAAATTATTTTAAAATTGTATTATTTTAATAATTTTTTATAAAAAAATTAAAATATTTTATTTTTAAAACATATATTAAAATATTTTTTTATTTTTTTTGTAATATTTTATTAAAACAATGTAGTTTTAAAATAAATTTTCTCTTAATCTTTAAAAAATAAACACTAACATACATACATATATATATATATCTCATTTAGTTCACGTTTGATTTTTGATATATTATTATATCATTTAAAACTGTATTAAACAAATAGTTAGCTTTTGATTTTTAATTCTATCAATTTTTTTCAGAATGTTTAATGACAAATAAAATTTTTAGACAATTAAAAAATAAGTAAAGAATATTCAAAATATTTCCTTGTAAAAAATAATATCCAACTCTATCTTTTGAAAAACTAGCCATCTATAGTCTTTCTGTCCACTTTCGTTTGCATCTTTAATGGATGTTCGACAACTTGCCATAATAACCATTAAAAATTTCAAAAAATCTACCATAATTCAATTAATTATCCTCATTTCAGCTTTTTTTAAAGAAATTTTTTAATTGTGTTTAAAGGCACATGTTAAATTTTATTAGATGTAATATTTTTAATTACTTCTATACAGATTTTAATACTGAATTCAATTAAAATAAAATATAAAAGTGAAATAAAATATCATATTTATATTCAAAATTTATAAAAAAATATAAATCTGATATAAAAATTTATACAAAATTAATTACAAATTTTGTAATTAATAAAATTTAACTTGTATCTTTACATTATAAGTTAGGCAAACCATTTTTTTATAAGAAAATATAATTTCATAAAATATAAATATCCTTCCATTTTCAAAAATAAGATAACATTTTTTTATATCTTTTGCTTGGTATGATTGATATTATTCACTTTATTTTTAGTAAATTTATGTAAATTTTATTCTAAAAGAAACCGCTTGAATTTTATTTTTCAGTCAAGAGAGGAGTTGCTTGATATATAACTAAGGGTCCATCTAGTATATGGTTTTTTTTTTTTTTTAATTTGGATTTCTAAAAATTTTGTAATTCTAAATATAAAATTAGTTTACTTTCATTCAAGATTTAACATATTATTATAATTATAAAAAAGAATACTAATAATTTTAATCTATTGAATATATTTATAGTTTTAGTTGTCAATTTTAAAAATTTTCTTAAACAAATTTTTAGTTATTAATTTTTAATTTTGATTTTTAATAATTATAAAAAATAATACTAATAATTTTAATCTATTGAATATATTTATAGTTTTAGTTGTCAATTTTAAAATTTTTCTTAAACAAATTTTTAGTTATTAATTTTTAATTTTGATTTTTAATAATTATAAAAATTTTAAAAACTAAAATAAAAAAAGAAAATCAAAACTCACAATCATACTAAAGGGAAACTTATAAATAATTAGAACATTATCCTTGCTGTAAACTACCATAAGCATCCTTGTTCTTCTGACATTCCCTAACTACTTTTTGTTGCCCTTGGCAACTTCGAAAAATTTTCTCAAGTTTTTAATAAGTAATTATATATTTTAAGAAACAAAATCAAATGTATTATTGGGCAAATTGCCCTCACCATGCGTTCCAAGAAAAAGTATATGCTGGTACATGATGCAAATGTGCTAGGAGAATAAGGAAATTGAAGCAACGCAAAGATAAATGAGTCAACCCATGAGTGAATTTTTTTGAATTTCTTAATGATTTTAATGGTAAGTTAATGAATTTCTGTTAGAGATACTAATGAAAGTTGACAAAAAAGACTATAAATAAGTTAATTGGATTTTATTTGCTGCAAGAAAAGATTTTGGGTTTTAATTTTTTACTTATTTTTTAATTGTCTAAGAATTTTATTTGTTATTAGCCTTTTCAAAACTATAATCAAAATCATAATAACACTAAACATAGTCTTAATATTTGTTATTTTTTATCATTAAGGAGGAAAATTACCAATCACATGGTATACGAATGAATATGTCAAACAATTGCCCATGACATCAATGCCATTGAGGCCAGTCGATGGTTATCCAGGAAGAACTTACAAATTCTATGACGGTCCTACAGTTTACCCATTTGGCTACGGAATAAGCTACACAAATTTCAGATATGAAGTAACATCCTCACCGGAATCGCTTCGCTTCACCCTGAAGCCGTACCAACACTGCTACTCCCAAAACCACATGAACAAGGATCAAGACTCGCCATGTCCAGCAATCATCATCGAACATTCAGAATGCACTCACTTCATCCAGGTGGAAGTCACAGTACACAATGTTGGAATGAGGGATGGAAATGAAGTTGTCATGGTGTATTCAGCTCCTCCACCGGGAATTGTTGGGGCTCCTATCAAGCAATTGATCGGTTTTCAGAGAGTTCACGTTGCTGCTGGTCAAAATGTAAAGGTGAAATTCTCGTTCAATGCTTGTGACAGTTTCAACATCATTGATGCTGCTGCCTACAATATTTTACCGTCCGGTACTCACAAAATCTTTGTGGCTGATGAATCAGTACCACTTGAAGTTAATTTTGATTATTAGGAAGTTTATGATTTACTTTTTATAACATTCCTCAATTAGGCTTGGGATGTAAATAAAGGCTATATGAAAGTGATTTTTTTTTTTGCCCTTCTAAATTCCTTAAAATTTATTTTGGGACAAAGAGTATATGATGTCTTGATTGTTGCAGCTTGCAGGTGCCTAATTCCCTCCTTAATTAATAATGAACAAATGAAGCAAATTTAGTTATGTTTTAATATTAAAAATTTTATTTATTTATTTATGTGTATCCTAAATAATTTTATTTTAGTAATTAGACTCCACCAATAATGTGGCCCATAGATTATGGTCTAAATGACTTCAATGGTGGCGGTTGGAGAATGTTCAACCTCACCACTGTTGGGATGCTTGTGCCACTCACAGGCAATATATATAAGTATATTTGACAAACAATATGGTTGTCAAATATAACCATACGCCGGCCACGCCACCCAAAAAAATTAAATTTTCCAGTTAGCTAAATTTGAAATATAATCAACATGAATATATATTATAATCGACAAGATTTCTATCAAATATGTTTTAAATATAAACCCACTCCGACATCAGAACATCTCATTGTCTTTTGATTTTCATCTTCTTGCCTCTTCCCTTCTCCTTCTTTCCGCATGTAACATCCTATTTCTTCTTTGAGCTTCTTCTCCTTTTATTTTCTTTTTTCTTTCATCTTTTATATTCTCTTATTTGTATTTTTTGTAAATATCTTTAGTTTTATGTTATTATTCATTAATACCTAATTCATTATCTTCATTGTTGACAAGCCATCATCTTCTTTCTTTTCATTCTTCTCTCTTTTTTGTTGAATTCTTATTATTTAATATAAGATACTAATAGTTCTTTTTTTTTTTTAGTTTTTAATACATAGATTATGAAATAATATGAGGTAAATTTTGTGATTTATACTTTTTATTTTCTTTTCTTTTGAATTCTTGTTACTTGATATAAATTTTTTTTTTGTTATTTTTGGCAAGAACATGAATAGATTTCAAAATAATTAAGATTCATGCTCATTTTAATTTAATTTATATTTATCTATTACTTTTTATATTATTGTTAAAATTGTTTCATAAATATATTGTTGGGGGACTTGATAATTGTGTTCGTTTCATTAATTTTTTTCTATAAAATTAACAGAAAATAGTATAAAAGTAATTTTAGATTTTGTTGAATTTTTAATTTTTAATTTTATTTTTCTGCCCAGTATATTTGACAGCCTACTGTTGATTAAAATAGGTATAATTGACAACCAATGGTAGCCGAATATAATTTCCCAAAAATATATATATATATATATTTGACAATCAAATGCTGTCGATTAAAGTGGTATAATCAACAGCAATAGACTGTCGAATATACCTTCCAAAAAATAAAAAATTATTATCGTCAATCAATTTCTGTCGATTATATTTATTATCGACAGATATTGACTATATTCGACAAAAAAATTATCTGTCGATTACATTTATTATCGATCCTCGTTTATACAACATATATGGTTGTTGGTTATGTCTGTCGATTAAAATATAATCGACAAAAATATCGCTATATTACTCCGTTTTTCAATAGTGTCCCAAACTGAGTAACTTCCCCAGCTTCTTTTCAACATGTGCCTAAAATCCGAAGAAAGAAAAGGGTAAATGTACAATCAACAATATTATGTTCCAAGCATGCAAGACATGGCAGATGAAATTAATAGACAGTGCTCCTCTCTTTACTTGAATTGGAAAGAGGGAGTAGGGCTATTAGAGCAATTAACAAGCAAAATCGCTTGTCTTCCCACCACTCTCACTCACACTGGAAAGTTATTAAATTTATAACACAACCTTAAACGCCGTTTTCGTCCTCTTCAGTTAATAACACTAACTTGTTTTAAATAATTAAAATTTTGAAATTTTAAGTTAAAAATTTTAAATTTAAATTACAAAATAGATATTGAAAAATTAAAAAAAAAAAAAAATAATTTTAAATAAAAAAGTTAACAAGAGAAAACCAAAAAAAAAAAAAAAAAAAAGTGTGATCAGTGAAAGAATCAACTTTAGCGTCTACATTCATTAAGGTTCTTCCTTTAATTGTTTTAAATTATGGTTTCAAACAACATTGCTAAAGATATCACGACGACCCGGCCGGGCGTTTGGTTGAGGACATTTTCCTCGGTTTTTAAACTCTCTTAAAATTTATTGATATATTTTTACGTACTAATATTGTAACGTACAAATAGAAGGTAAAAGTGATATTTTAATTTTAATTTTTTTGACATAATTATCAATTCATAAATTTTTTTTCTCATACTTAAAATGTTTTTTCCACTTGATAATTTTCTTACTAGTTTTCCTTATATTAATTTTTTACTAAATACAAAAAAATTAATAATTAATAAAATTAATAATTAATAAAATTTCATTATAAAATATTAAAATTTATAAATTTTTTATACAATATTTTCTTAATAACTTTCTTAGTAAAAATTTTTTTAATTAAATTGACCCCGTAAAAACGTTCATAATGAAGTCCGCCTCTATCCATCCACGACCTGAACGTGCAAGGACTTCAACTTGCAAGCCTGTGTTCAAAATAATATTTTATCATATTCTGTTAGTTAATTCAAACAGAATTAATAATAATAATTATAATAATAATAATAATAATAATGAAATGAAAAAAAAAATGCTGGCATCAAGAAAATCGAGCACCAGTACTAATTATTTCTTCCCCGGTTGAAAGTAACCTGGGAATATACCAAGTGATCCAAAATCCAGACGGTAAATCTCTGTTTTTATTTTTATTTTTTGGGCCATTGATATCCTCTGTGAATATCAAGGAAATACACAGCTAATATCCCTGGAAAAAGGGAGGCTACAAAGAATATATACAAGATGATGTGAAAATTTATCTTGTGACAACCGGCCATTGGTCAGAAGTTTAAAGGCATCCAAACTTGTTCTTTCAAACAAATCCCTTGATTCTGGCACTTTCATATCAAACAGTCCCTAAGACAAAAAGGAAGATCTCTTCACATTTGGTTTTGCAGCATCCATTGCATAATGTCCTTTCGAGTAACAACCTCAAAGCCACCTCTTCTGTAATTCAAACTTGAAGCATCAGGTATGCAGATGTGCAAATGCCTGTACTGGGTCATAGTTCCAGAGGGCTTTGTTGGCCGCATCATCTTTGCAATGGTAGGAAACGATTTAGGCCACATGCTTGTTGATGAGGTAAAAAGATGCCTATTGGATTAATTGTTTCTCGATGTTGGAATGCTATCAGAATTTTTCGGGTTGGATGAGTTTGTCACCTGCTTTGTCAGGTTCAAGTTCGCACTTGTCCTATGCCGAGGTTTCTTCTCAAGGGCAGCATGGATCTGAGCCAATGGTTTCATCTTGTCCAGTCATCGCAATATCCAGTTACCAATACTTCTCCCAACTTCCAAATCTCTCTGCTGTATGTTCTTGTGAACCTTGACTGCTACATCAAATACAGCATGTGTTCTGCTGGCAAAGAGTAAAAATAAACCAATCAAAATAAAAGTAACTCACAACTTGATGTGGATTTGGGATACAACTTTTCAGAGATATGCTCAACCGAATCACTGTGTCAATGCGAAAACTTCCCAGAATATCAAAAAACAGAAATTAATCAAACCAATCAATAAAATACGAAATATACAAATAAAAATGAATAATAATTATTTCAGAAATGATTAACCAAACTACTTTAAAAATATTTTCCAGCTAATAAAAGGTAAACCTGAAGCGTCATATACCTTCACCGAGCAACTTTCTGTCACCCACGCCAAAGAATTGAAAAAGTACACTTAATTCTTGTAACTATTCGGAAAGATTTTAAGATTTGGTGCAAACCCAACAATTTTGATCTCTTTCTAATTTTCTCCAGAAAGCTTCAGCACAAGTTTAATGGTGTTACAGAAGAGAATAAAAGGAAAAACAAATAGAAGAATACTATGAAACTTCTTACGAAGGGGATGAATCATCATCTTCATTTTTTACTTTCTTAGATTCTCACTGTTTCTATGATTTTCTCATGGGAGTGGAGTGCAAAGAATGTGCGGAATTTGTGCAAATATTGAATTTAATTATCATATTTTAGTTATGTTTTGACAACTAAAGAGTAGATCTACTCAAAGAGAGGGGATTCAAGGAAAAGGAGTGGAAGTTAGGAACCCAGTAGTACAAATATAGAGGAGATAAAACGATGAAAGAGAAAACCAAAGACAAAGGGTACATAGAATGATAAGATGAATATAAAATGGTGTGGTATTAACAAATTAATGTGTGTAAATAGTATAAAAAATTCAATTTCGTTTCTCTGTTTTAGCAATATTTTTGCTTGAATGGGATGCGATGGTGACTGAAAACAAAAAAAGAAAAAAAGAAAAAAATAAGAGAGTGCAATATGGATGAATTGATACTTGATGTTATTGTCAATAAAGTGTTTGTTAATTTCAATAATCAATATCTATTGTGAATTTTTTCTATTAGTGGATGTTTCACTTTCATATTCATCTTCTTCCATGTTATAACTCTCTACCATTAAAAAGTCATTTCTCACCATTAAAGAGTTATTCGTGATCCCACTACAGGCTATTCAAAAGTCCATTAAAGGTCATTCATTCTCTTATTTAATCCTATTTAATGGCTAATATAACTCTTACATGTGCCTTACCCTATATATAGGCTAACAAATTTGTATAATTTGTATATAAAAGAGTATATGGTGAAATAAGAAACTCTCTTTTATTTGTTATCTTGCTATTTTTTTTCTTATTTTATAATACGTTATCAGCATGATTGTCTCCACTATTCAATTTGCAGCAAGCTCTAAAGGTAATTCTTTGTTTTCTAATTTTAATTTTATTGCAATATCTAACGCATTTTTGCAGTCACAATGTCAAACTTAACAAAACTTGAATTTGCCGCTCTTAATATAACGGTTCAAATTATTTGCCATAGATACTTGATGCTGAAATCCATTTGGTTGCGAATAATCTAAGTGAAACAATTGTTGAAAGAAATCAAACATCCTTGCAAGATCACACTAAAGTGCTAATATTCCTTTGACCAACAATTGTTTGACAAAGATTATTTGCAATAAAATGGATTTTAGCACCAAGTATCCATGGCAAATAATTTGAACCCGTTATAACAAGGGCGGCAAATTCAAGTTTTGTCAAGTTTGACATTGTGGTTGCAAAAATTTGTTAGATATTGAAACCAAATTGAAATTAGAAAACAAAAGATTACCTTAAGAGTTTGTTGCAAATTGAATAATGGAGATTATCGTGCTGATAATGTATTATAAAAAAAAAAAAGTAATAAGATAACAAATAAGAGAGAGAGTTTCTTATTTCAACATGTATTCTTCCATATACAAATTATATAAATTTGTAGGCTTATATATAGGGTAAGGGACATATAGTTTTTGATTTTTTTTTTTCTAATGATTGTGAGAAAAAGAAGTCACAAAAATAAGTAGGGTAATTTTTTTAAGTGAAAAATAGATGGAGTATTTAAGTTACAGAAAATAATTATAAACTATAATATGATGTGACTACACAATTATAAATTTTATTAATACAAGGGAGTTCTTAATATATATGAAGCTTTTTTTTTTCAAAATTAATAATTAATTTGTGAGCAAACTATAAAATATATCTTTTTTTAATGATTTTGTTTAGTTAGTTTTCCCTCACTTTATATGGTAGGTTGAGTTCTGTCACCAAATTTAGCAAGTTGATTCATTCATGGGAATGATTCTTCGACCTTGAGTAGCTCGTAAGCTTTAGTGCTAAATTAATGAAATCCAAAGGGAGATTCTCAGTATATGCTGAAATTTCATCTATAAATAGGAGCTCCTAAACAACCACTTTCTATCTCTCTTCCTATGTTCCCGCTTTTTCATTCTGTATTCAGGAATACCAATGGCAAATCAACCCGTTGCTTTTGGTACTTTCATTATGTATTTTTCTCTTTGGTTCCGCGATTACAAGTGCTTAACATGCTGTCATTCGCCTAAAAAAAGGGGAAATATAATATCCAATAACTAAATGGAAGATTAGAATGAAAAAGAAAAAGAAAAGGACTTGAAGGGATAAATGGCTCATATGATTTACCTAATAGCAGCAAAAGGGATAGCAACAGGGCTCATAGTTGGAGGATCTGCCAATGCAGATCTAGGAGGGAAAACAACAATCTTGTCATCTGGTAAGAATTTTGAAGATTCTAGTCCAAAAGAGCTTATAGTTGGAGGATCTGCCATTGCAGGCCTAGAGGGAAAACAACAATCTTGTCATCTGGTAAGAATTTGGAGGATATTGGTCCGAAAGGGCAATATTTGATGTCGAGCATAGAGCTTCAAAGTTAGAAATATCATTGTGAAGCAATATTTTAATATCATTAAGCATACCTAGTTGTTGAAATTTGAGTATTAAACTATACTAGTTTACTGTTATTGATAGAAATAGAAGCAACAAAATTAATAATTTGATCTTGGAAGCAAATCTATAATAATGGGGTTATTTTGTACAAAGGCAAGGAAAGTAGCATATTATGGACTACTGGTGTTGTCCCGATGCCTTCCTAAAATTAATTTTAATTAATATGCACTATTTACTTTTGAATTGGTTGAATTTGCTAGTAGCCAACCCCTGTGCACAAGCACAGAGGTATTTTGTACCATGTTAGACTGTAAATAAAAGCTATGAGTTTACAAATGTTGATTTCTAACATCGAAGTTTTTTTTCCTCAATGCATAGGTTGGACTAGATCCTCCAACTATGAGCCCTTCTGGACCAATATCCTCCAAATTCTTACCAGATGGCAAGATTGTTGTTTTCCCTCCTAGATTTGAATTGGCAGATCCTCCAACTATAAGCCTTGTTGCTATCCATTATGCTGCTATTAGGTAACTCATATATGAGCCATTTGTCCCTACAAGTTCTTTACTTTTTCTTTTCTTTTTCATCCTAATCTTACATTTAGTTATTGGATAATATTTCCCCTTTTTCAATACTGTAGTTTCAGTGATTAGGTTGCACAGTTCAGATTTTCTAATGAATCCAAGGTTGCGCCAACACCTTCCACTCAAGTCTCTTTGAAAGATCCACCTGTCCTGACGCCTTCCACTTAGGTCTCTTCGAAAGATCCACCTATCTTGACGCCTTCCACTCAAGTTCGCCGAGAAATCCACCTATCCCAATAGTATTGAACTAAAAGATATTGAAGGATTGGATGGAAGCTGTGATGTTTGAATGGTTCTAGTATAAACTGTAATATTACTAATGAAGGGTTGGATTAAGTGGCAAGCGGCTTGTTCCAACTTAAGTAAGGTCTCGAATTCGAAACTTTGTGTACGCAGCAGCCTTCGTTGGGAGACCCACCCACCATTCTGGTGCGCCACAGCTGGTCGAGTCCGGAGTAGTCGAGGCGAAGCCCCGGATACCGGGCGGGAAACCAAAAATAAAAAATAAAAAAAAAATAAACTGTAATATTTCAATACTTTTTCTTTTTCTTTTTCATCCTAATCTTTCATTTAGTTCTTGGATATAATGTTTCCCCTTTTTTCAATATTATAGTTTCAATGAGTAGGTTGCACAGTTTGGATTTTCTAATGAATCCAAGGTCACGCCAACACCTTCCACTCAGTCTCTCTAAAAGATCCACTTGTCTTGACACCTTCCATTCAAGTCCGTAGGGAAATCCTCCTATGCTGACAGTATTGAACTAAAAGATATTGAAGGATTGGATGGAAGTTGTAATGTTTGAATGGTTCTAGTATAAATAAAATATTCTAGTATATTATGTTGTTTGTCATGGGATGAGACTTTACTGAGTTACCATGTGGCACTTAGTTCGAAATTAACCCCTTATCTAAACCAAGTCAACCTTCCTAATGTTAGGCGCAGCCCACCCACTAGACTAAGAGGGTTATAACATGTAAAAGATGAAGGTATGCGCTTGGGAGAAGAAGAGAGTTTATTAGATCGCAAGGAAGTGTCACAAGAGCTTGAAGTAATAACCCCTCTATGCACTCACTCTCACCCTTAGCAACTCTCTTTGACCATCCTCTTCTTGGCCTCTATGCCCTTAAAGCAAATGGCTCTTTTATTTACAGAAGAGGTATGCCTCAAGCCAATCCGACAGGTGAAGGCTCTAGAACACTCACAAAACTCCTCTCTTATATTCACTTGCTAGAACCTTTTCCACTCCTCCCTCCTAGCATAGCCTAGATAATTCTAAAACAATTCACTTTAGAACTATATACAAGGCTATAGCAAAGTCTACACATGGGCTTGGCCCAACAAACCCACCCAAACAAATGTTCAGTCTTCATTCCAGTTGCCCTAGCACTTCCAAAGAATTTTGGGTGACTCCAAATCACACCTAAGTGTCGATACCTACCTAACACCTTCCACTCAAGTCCCCCAAGCAATCCACCTATCCTGACAATACTGAACTAAAAGATGTTGAAGGATTGGATGGAAGCTATGATGTTCGAACAATTCTACTATAAATAAAATGTTCTCGTATATCATGTCATTTGTCACATGACAAGACTTTAGCAAATCATCATGTGACGCTTAACTAAGAATTAACCCCTGACCTGAACCAATTCAGTCTTCCCCAATGTTAAGCGTAACCCACCCATTGGACTAAAAGGTTGGCAACACGTAAAAGACGAAGGTATGAGCTTGGGAGAAGAAGAGAGTTTATTAGATTGCGAGGAAATGTGTTACAAAAGCTTGAAGTACATAGCCCCTCTATGCACTCACTCTTACCCATAGCAGCTCTCTCTAATCATCCTCTTCTTAACCTCTATGCCCTTAGAGTAAATGGTTGTCCTATTTATAGAAAAGGTTTGCCTTAAGCTAGTCCTGCAAGTGAAGGCTTTAGAGCACTGCTAAAACTTTTGTCATACACTTGCTAGAAACTTTTCCACCCTTCCCTCCTAGCCCAACCTAGATAATTCTAGAACAATTCACTCTAGAACTATATACAAGGCCATAACAAACTCTACACATGGGTTTGGCCCAACAAGCCCACCTAAACCAGTGTCTGGTCTTCATTCCCATTGCCTTGGCGCTTTTAGAGAATTCTAGGTGGCTCTAAATCGTGCCTAAGTGTCAACACCTACTTGACACCTTCCACTCATGTCCTCGAGAAATCCACCTATCTCGACAGTATTGAACTGAAAGATGTTGAAAGATTGGATGGAAGTTGTGACATTTGAACAGTTCTAGTATAAATAAAATGTTCTAGTATATCACACCGTTTATCATGGGACAAGAATTTAGCAAGTCACTGCGTGATACTTATCTCAGAATTAACCCCTAACCTAAACTAAGTCAACCTTCTCCAATGCTAGGTGTAGCCCACCCATTAGACTAAGAAGGTTGCAACATGTAAAAGACGAATGAATGAGCTTAAGAGAAGAAGATAGTTTATTAGATCGCAAAGAAATGTTACAAGAACTTGAAGTACATGACCCATTTATGCACTCACTTTTACCCTTAGCAGCTTTCTCTAACCATCCTCTTCTTGGCCTTTATGCCCTTAGAGCAAATGGCTCTCCTATTTATAGAAGAGGTCTGCCTTAAGTCAGTCCTATAAGTAAGGCTTTAAAACACTCCTAAAACTTTCCTTATATGTACACTTGTTAGAACCTTCTCTACTCCTCCCTTATAGCCCAGCCTAGATAATGTTAGAACAACTCACTCTAAAACTATATACAAGGCTATAGCAAACTCTACACACGGGCTTCACCCAACAAGCCCACCTAGACCAGTGTCTGGTCTTCATTCCCATTGCTCTGGTGCTTCTAGAGAATTCTAGGTGGCTCCAAATTGTGCCTAAGTATTAACACCTACCTGATGCCACTTAGATCCCCCGAGAAATCCACTTGTCTCGACAATACTGAAGTAAAAGATGTTGAAGGATTGGATGGAAGCTTTGACGTTTGAATGGTTCTAGTATAAATAAAATGTTTTGGTATATCATGCCATTTGTCACAGGATGAGACTTTAGCAAGTCACCATGTGACACTTAACTCGAAATTAACCCTTGACCTAAACTAAGTCAACCTTCCCCAATGCTAGGCGCAGCCCATCCACTAAACTAAAGGGTTTGCAACACGTAAAAGATGAAGGTATGAGGTTGGGAGAAGAAGAGAGTTTATTAAATCGCAAAGAAGTGTTACAAGAGCTTAAAGTACCTAGCCCCTTTATGCATTCACTCTCACCCTTAGTAGCTCTCTTTAACCATCCTCTTCTTGGCCTCTATACCCTTAAAGCAAATGGCTCTCCTATTTATAGAAGAGGTCTGCCTCAAGTCAGTCCTACAGGTGACGGCTCTTGAACAGTCCCAAACTTCCCTTATATGTACACTGTTGCGGCATGTGGGTTCTACAGAGTGGTTGAAAAAGCATGCAAATTTCAGCCTTTGAAATTTGGTTGCATGGGAAATCTCATGGCAGCCCAATTTTGTTGAAAAATTAGAAGTCTCATGGTAGCCTTTGAAATGGAAATTTGCTTGCTGCAACTTTGTCCATGCAACATTTATTGTGCATGGTTGGATTATGACTTTGGAGCCCATTGCATTCATTGTGGCTGGTTGGCATTTGGCTATAAAAGGCCATTTGGCCATTCGGCAAATCACACCAAAAAAGCAATCCAAAGCAAAGTGAGCTCCAAAATATACAAGAGTGTTGTGAGTGCTTTGGGTGAGGGTGAGCAAGAGCAGAGTGGTTAAAATACTTTGCTTAGTGTTTTTTGAGTGTGTCTCACATTAAAAAATACTATTAGTAAGATTTTGGTATACTTGGGGATTGTGTATTTTTTGAGAGTACCACAAATT